GGGCCGGCCACCGTGGAACCATAAGGACTGTTCTCGTGGGAATGGGCTGCAACCGAGCCAGAACCCGAAGCAACAGCTGGACCGGAAGAAGAGGTACAGGTACCCCCCACCTCGACCAGGCCTGCCGAAAGCCTCCACCATGAAGTCCTCGCAGGTGGGAAGGGCGCCACAAAACGGGCGACGCCTAGACCACGCCGACCCGAAGACGTCCATGGCCAGGAGTCCATAAGCCCAACAGAGCCAACAAAACGAATCGGCGACGACTGGCCAACCCACGAAGAGGAATGAACCGAGACAGCTGTCCACCAGGACGCAGGACACACCCCGGACACGAACCACACGGTTAACCAAACCCCCTGTGGTTCCGGCAAGAACCACCAGAGAACAGTCCAAACAGAGCTGAATGGTAGAGTACCTAGTGACCCAAACCCTCCGAAGCGCAAACCAGACAGCCATGAACACCTGAACCGGGCTGTGAGCCCGACGGACAGACAGACTCCATCAACCTCGGCCGACCTGGTGAGCACTGGTCACAAAGCCCCAGCCGAGAGACGACCCGTCCGTGAACACATCGAGCGAAGGCTCGGGGAGCTGCCAAGGCACGGAACCCCGAAAACCCCAAAGAGGAAGCTGGTGACGCAGCACCAACACCAGATCCCCAAAGGAACCCAAGGAATGCAAGAGGCGGAAGCGGAGTCTCCGTAGGAACCAACCGACGCCGGAGCCAAACCCGACTCCGCGGGCAGACAAGCACGCCGAAGTGCAAACTCCCGCACAACCGCCCGCACAACCGCTGAGCAACCCGGGACCCCCTCCTGAACAGCCAAAGGCGGGACCACAGCCACAGTAACACTTCTGGAGGGAAGACAATGAGGGGCCCAAGAGCCTGAAACAAGGCCCAGGTCCGAACCCGGGACGGAAACAGAAGGTAAAACCTCCAGATCACCAGGAAACCAAACCCAGCGATCTGGAAAGAACCATCCCCTGGCGAGCAGACAAGCGGACTGACTGGGAGCCCACTCCAGCCAGTCGTCGAGGTAGGCCAGACACCGAATCTCAGACGCAGACAGGGCACTAAGATCCGGTAAAGATGCAAAGAGTATACAAAGTGCCCTTCACAAAATAGGGAATGCAATAAAAACAGCAAACCTGAAGCCCCACCACCAAAGCATTGTATGACAATCATATTAAGACATATTATGACATATGACAATCATTATATGACAATATGACAATTATAATCAAAGCATTATATGACAAAGAGTGCTGGGAAGACGGGACACCACGAGAGTAGCTCTCATCCTGTAACTACACTTAGGTAAGTACACATAGGTAATTACCAACCGTGCTAGCCCCAGAAAACTGGAGAGGAACGTGCCAAGAAGTGACCTGGAGGTCCAGGTCCACCATCCATGCACCCGGCCCTAACAGAATCCGAACAGGAGACAACAGTCCTCCGAACAGGAGACAACAGTCCTCCGAGCAGGGCAGAGGATCCAGGGCGCAGACGGAAGTAGTCCAGAAGAACTGCAGACTGGAAAAGCTCATGACTGCAAAGAGCAGACGGGAAGCCCAGAAGGATGGGGCGGATCGACCACGCCCCACGCACCCACGAAGAGGAAATGACGAAGCGCAGGGAAGAAGCCCACCCCGCCAGCTCTGAACCCCCCCCAAGGGGGAGAAGCCGTCCTCCGACGCCAGCAGAGGCCGGAAGACAACCCAAAGCGCCCACCAACAGCGGGACCAAGCGAGAGGCAACAGAGCAAGCTGCTCCCCCAGCGCCCAGTCAACAGAGAAGGGAACAGAACCCCTTCAGAAAGAAAAAGTACACTACCGAAGTCATGAGGAGAGACTACGGGAATGAAACCACACTTCGCTGGAAGAGGAAGTGAGGGGAGACCTGATCACCACATACAAGATACCCAAGGGAATCGACAGGGTTGAGAAGGACAGGCTATGTAACACAAGGGGCACACGCACTAGGGGACACAGGTGGAAACTGAGTACCCAAAAGAGCCACAGATAGAATTAAATTTTTTTTTTTTTTTTTTTTTTTTTTTTTTTTTTTTTTTGAGTGTCAGAATGGGAACGGGAAAGCACTAAGAAGTAATGTGGCGACTCCTCACACAAGTAACGAGGCTGACCCCCATACAATGTCACATGTAGACATGACAGAGCCCAAGAGGCACAGGAACCGAAACACCTGTTGACGGACGGTTGAGAGGCAGGACCAAGGAGCCAGAGCTCAACCCCCACAAGCACAACTAGGTGAGGACATATAGTGTAAAAGCACAAGCCGCCGACTAGTGGCAAAGAGCACTACGCCGGCCAGGCAAAGAAGGCACAAAACTGCATCAAAAGGCCCACCTCGACAGCAAAACCACAAAGTCCCAGCACAACCACAACATGTGCCAAGACCCAAAAAGCTCAGTCTGCAAGCCAGGAAGACCCTGGAACCCCAAAAGGCAGAACCGGGTCACACGAGGAAACAAAGTCCCCTGAACCCACAAAAGGGGGCCCAAGAGGAAGAAACCTCCAGAATGAAACCAAGGAACCCAAAGGAACCCAGAATCGAACCAGGGGGAGCCCAAACCACCACATTTGCCGGCGGAGAACACCACTAAAAGGCAAAGCACAGACCCCAGCAGAACACCCTGGGAAAACGGTCCCAACAGACCGAAAACCGAGGGGCAAGGTGTGGGAGCAAGCATACCAGCCAGGGGCACTGAGCCTAAACCCAGAGGCTCAGACCCAAAATCAACACCCAAACGTTCCCAGAGGAACAGGCAACGGCAAGAAAACACCAGAAAAACAAAGAAACGACAACAGGAGAACAAAAACCCTGCAAATTTTTTGAAAACTCACCAGAGACGCTCACTCGCACACCCAGACGCATGTAAACAAACCGCAACGCCACCCTGGTGGCCACGCCGGGAAACCGGCAGACGAAAATGGCCGCCAGCAGGGGCTGTGACTGACGCTTAATAAACAAAAACACGCCAGCAAATGTGGGAAGCTAGCAGACTGGAAGGGCGAAAAACGACGCCCAACAGCAGAAAAACCCCTGAAGGGGCAAAACCGCCCCAGAACTGCTAGCAGGCAACCCCCACAGCCCCGGGAACCAACAACAGAGGCCCCGGGGCAGAGCCGTCCTCCAAGCCCTCCGCCCTTAAAGAAAAGCAAGAGCCCATGGGAAAGGCAACAAGAAAGGGCCGCTGGTAAGACCCAGAAGCCTTGGCAGGAGGCACAGGCTCAAACCTCCGTCCCCAACCCGAACGGGGCATCCCCCGAAAACTGCCCGAGTCTCTGCCGCACCTGAACCCCGCAGACGGTCCGGAGCCGGGAACATGGAGAGAAGGGGCGAGCAGCACCTAACCAAACGGGGCGGCCACGGGGCATTCGAGTGGGAAACCAACCTAGCATGTTGCAACAACCTAACCTAGCTTGCAACACGGATGCCGCCTGTACTCTTAACAGTAATAACATCAGGAGAGTACTGGAGAACAAGCAGAGAATCACTCGCAAGACTCCGGGTCAAGGTGTCAGTGACCCAACAGGCAGCATGACGGAGGTAAAAATGGCGACTGTCACCCGGAGACAAGGGAACAGCAACCAACGATCCCGTTCAAGACGGGTTGGAACCCGGAAGACACATTCAATGGTCCCCCGAGCCCAGACAGGGGTTTCCAGGGCCCGTAGGGTAACAACTACGGGAAGCCCGGGCAAGGTGTTGCTAACCGGTTAAGAAACCCAAACATAACAAGAGGGTAGATTATAGCACTGAAAACCCCTGAGACGTGTACAAGCACGGGGGCCTAGCAGAGGGCCGCCAAACACTACCAGTGGAACTATAACCACCTTAGGCAGACCCCCACCAGGCAAGAAAATGAAAAACAAAAGAAAAACCCTGCAAAAGTACACCGTCTCCAGAGGCAACAGAAACCGGCCGCCGCTTAGGTGGCAGGCTGCGCAACACCTTGACGCCCTAACCAGCACAATACCAATCCCTACCCAGGGCCAAACAAGGGCCCCAAGCCCCAGCTGGCCCCAAGGGCGAGGCAAATGCCGAGCAGCAAGAACCTCTACGGGAATGGTTCCCGAACGCCCCAGGGAAGATAACCCTGTTACGCAAGGGCAGTACTCACAGGGCGCTTAGGGTAGTCAGCCACTAAGCACATGCAGCCCCGGCACTGATGAAGTACTCCTGGCCACCGCACACCACAACACACGGCAGTGAACGCCACACAAGGCAAACACCGCCTAGGAAACTGAGGCCAGAGAAGCGTCAATCCCGGTTGACATTAGCGAACGAACTGGAGCTTGGCAGCCGGCGCGGTAGGTCCGGGGCTCCCCCCTCCCCCTCCCGGGGTGGGGAGGGCTGCGCGGACGATCGGCGCGGCAGTAAAGTGTGATGTTTGCTTGTTTGCTTGTTTCCTTGGGATTGTAGGGAGTTTTCTACCTCTCTGTTCGGTTTTTGTTGTAGTTTCTTACCATGTGGGGTTTGTTTTGTTACGCCTACCTTTCTGGGTGCCTAACCCCGGTCGATGGCAGATAAGGAAAACCCCCAACCATATGGGGTTTTCCAGGGCCATTGCTCCCTGAAACCTCTCTGAAGGGGCCAGGTTCTGGCGCTGGTCCCTGGTAGGTCTGAACTCCTTAGCTAATGTCCCGGTCTAACATAACATACATTAGCCCGATAAGCTCCAGGGAGCCGTAGGGGCTCCCCACAGAAAATAGACACAAACAAGCTCTACAAAAGAAAGCAGTATCCCCTTGTACATTATTAACAGTAATACTATTGTGAATGACAGTCAAATGAAACTACAGTAATTATGTTTTAGAAATACTTAATTATTCTTAACTCCTGAAGAAAGTTCTAACATACAGGTGAATTATAACATATAAAATTACAAGTGAAACTTTAAAATAAATATATTGTCATTTGTTCTAAAAATATTAGATATCTACAGTGTAGTCACTAACTGAAGAGATCCACTTACCTGGTACAGATAACTTCTTCATGAATAGATCCTTGGCAGCGTTGACACTGAGTCCATAATCTTGAAAACTTCTCCTCTAGAGCACCCAGAACGCTCATCTGCTGCATATATATCTCACTCTCCCGAAGCTGAAAATTATAAACCAAAATTAATATATAATTGACTAAACTTGGACAACAGCTGATACACAGGCATTAGATTAAGCTAAAATATGAATCCTGCCATGAATGATCACTGGAACTGTCTAAACTCCATGTGAGAGGAGTGTATGCTATGATGGCATATCCATGAAGTCAGAAAAATAACTATCTGGGAAATAAAAATGAAAATACTGTACAAGTATAAGAAATGTTGACAGTTTGTGGCATTTGAGGTCTTGACAGTTTGTTTTCTAAAAATCTCCATCTTCCTTGTCGTTTCCAACTTGCCCGTGCCTCCCTGAAAGCTAACAACTTAATTGTTATCCTTCCTTCCAACAAAGGTAATTCAGTGGTTGTTCTTGACTATGTGGAGCATGGTCATGTTTGTGACCATGTGCTCTTGACCACCATGACCCTGCTGATGTCTTGCTTCTTGACTCCAGTACACATACTCCTCTGATTTCTAACCCTTTGGATCGCCTTAAAACTTCCTTCAACCGCAAACTAAGACAGCTTTTTGATACCACCATTAACACTTTGGCGTACCCTGCGCGCCACCCCTCAACTGTGCGATTTGGGTCCCAGGGTGTCACGGGAGCGCGCGTAAATTCTGAAAAGTGTATACTCTCTTCAACTTTGTCACCTTAATTCTCGTCCTACGAGATTAAATTTTGTATCATTGTGTTCGCAATAGAATTCTCTACAGCACTAAATGCATATAACTCCAAAAGCCCGGCTAATTACCCGCAGCAAACAGAGAAAGTGCGAACGAGTTACCCAGGAGCGCACAAACGCGATAAAATGTTTTCACTATTTTCACTCTGGTCACCTCAATTTTCGTCCTAGGTCTTTCATTTTGGTCTCAATGGGTTCGCAATAGAATTCTCTAGAGGAACATTAGCATATAAAATAAAAAACCTGGTCACACTCCAACCGCCGATGAGTTGAAGACAGGCCACGCGTTAGCCGCAAGTGAGCGCTCAGACGCCTTCCAGCTACACTCCCAATCCCCGCCCTTTTCAAGCCTTTCTTTCGCAATTTTCTTCCTGGAAGGGCCTTGTTCATGATCACTATCCATCGTGGAGTAAGCGTAGATAGTTTCTAAAGCCGCAGTAAGAAATATAGCCACGGAAAATAGCCGAAATGTTTACACGTTTGAGATGCGAGGGGAGGTGACATTGGTCACAACAGTGGAGCGAAAACAATGGGCCCACGGCGTGTGCCAAGCCGCCTGAGGGCCACAAGGCTCAACAAAGAAAATGGAAAGACATCGGCGCGCATTTTAAAACCAGTCCCCAAAAAATCGGATAAAAACCTGATTTTTGGCGATTATTTAAAGTGGATGACGCAATGCTGCGTCATCCCCGGCATTACCGACAGTAAATGGATGACGCAATGCTGAGTCATGCCCGGGCGAAAGTGTTAACACAACTTCTCATCTTTATCTTTGCCATCCTGAGTCCATTTCCACTCATATGTTTATTTTCTCATTATCCTCACACAAATATAAGACATTGATAGCTTCCAACCTCTGCCAAATTATGAACATTGATGCGCCACTGTGAGTGCTGCATCTTTCAACATCGCCACTCGTGCAGTCATCGGGAGGAAAAGCCGTCATGCAAACTGCACATATCGCGAAGAGGAAGACACAAACAATGCTCTCTTCTGTCATGTTAGCTACTCCAATCATCCTACAGATTGGTCTTCTTAAATAATCTTACCTGCCTATACTCTTCACAGTATTGTCGAGCTGGCTTTGATACACAACATGAACAACATGAATCTTAGTCCTGGCTTTGCTGCTGTTGACTTTTCCCTTTCACAGTGCACAGTTTTATGCTCTAACCTTTTTAACATGATCCAACTTAAGCTATGCCCCCTGTTGCTTATTCTTACCTTTCCTCTTACTCTTATTCTTCTATTCAACCTATTCTTACATGCATCCTATTTTTTTTTAGATATATACAAGAGTTGTTATATTCTTGTACAGCCACTAGTACACGTAGCATTTCGGGCAGGTCCCTGGAATACGACTCACTATATAAATATGACCCCTGGAATACGACCTATTCTTACCGTATTCTTATATTCATCCTATTCATACTTTATTCTTACATTTATCATATTCTTACCTGCTCTTCACCTCTCACCTTCCTCTCTTATCTTATATATTTGCCTGTACCCTCCTCTCTTATATTACACGACGTGATAATGATCCAGGACGGACAAAAAGTCATCATTTCCCCCATTTTCTGTGTTGTATGGTCATCATCATATGAAATGTTCTCTGAATAGACAGTTGAGAAGCAATGTACAGTGGTAGCCACTTTTGTCCACAATTTCAAGAGTAAATGCATAACAGAACTCAAGAAATTTACCACCAAACCAGACACAAAAGGCACAAAGCATAAAGAGTGAGACCTCACTCCCCCATTGTTACTTATATGTAAGCAGTACAATCATCCACAACTGATAATAGTTGAATCATGCATGAGCTGAATGTGTGTCTTATGTTTGTGTACATTATAAGACAGTTAGAGGGACACAGATCAGATATGGTCCATTTCATAATATTAAACGAGCCCTAATTGAATGCTGGGTAGTGTCGATGATAATTACGACCACCTCTGTATTCAGACAACAAGGTGAAAAATTATATTAATGTGGGCTTTTCGATCCATCACAGAAGCCCGAGAATGGCGCTCCCCTCCCCACGGAGAACCAACAAGTCTGACAAAGGACGACAACTAGACGAGGCCGCCTGCAGAAACTGAGCGACAGCAGCCTCTGCAAACAGCAAGGGACAAAAAGGGGATGAAAACTTAAGAGCTAGGGCCCAAGTGGATTCCAAAGAGAAAGCGAGCACGGCCTGATGGCATGCAAGGCTGCAGGAAGCAAAGAACAGAGGCACCGGCTCCCTGAGAATCGGTGCAAACAGCTTCAACAGTGCAGCAGACGCTCTAGCTGTCGAGGTAAGCACATCAGGCAAAGGCCTGGCACTCAATGCCTCCACATCTTCTTCAAGCCAGTCCAAGACAATTCATGAAAGGAAAAGAAGCGCAAGACTGAAGCCAAATGCTCACGAGCGTGCAAGTTCTCAGCGACCAAGGATGCCAAAAGGACACCTGCACATACAGCTGAACAAGCTGCAGAACAGTAACCGCCACTCGAGCGTGCGGGTCCGACAAAACCCATGCCATGCACCGAGTGAAAAGGGCAGTCTGCCAGCCAGGAAGACTCCGGAATCTCCAAATGTACCCAATACGCGGAAAAGAACCGAACTTAAATCAGTCTCCGTGGTGCAGTGGTAAGAAACTTGCCTGGTGTTCCATGAGCGCTTTGTCATGGGTTCGTATCCTTGCCGGGGAGGATTTACTGGGCGCAAATCCTTAACTGTAGCCTCTGTTTAACTCAACAGTTAAATGTGTACTTGGTTGTAAAAATGATTCTTCGCGGCAGGGATCGTATTTCAGGGACCTGCCCGAAACGCTATGCGTACTAGTGGCTGTACAAGAATGTAACAACTCTTGTATATATCTATAAAAAAAAAAAATGAGGGCGGATCCATCACAGAGGCAAAATCCAGGTCTTGCAGGAGGTAAGCTGCAACAGCTTCCCGAATATCCTTGGGCGAGATTTGAGAGGCAGAAAACCTCCGGAAAGGAGGAGCCGAGGAACTTAAGGAAACCAGGGAAGGAGCCGACCCCAAATCATACTCATACAGGGAAGGGGGGTTAAGAAAACCCCTCCCCCCCCTGCAACAACACACACTGAAGAGAGCACCCAAACCCAACTGGGATCAAAGGGGGCCCAAGCCCCCAGGTTACCTCCTCCCCAGCCTCGGGAGCCTCCAAACCAGGCCCCAGGGCAAAGCTGTCCTCCACGCCCTCTGCCCCTACAGAAAAGGCAGTGAGGGGAAAGGCTGAGAAGAAGGGGATCCACCAGCAAGATCCAGAGGCCTCGGCAGGAGGAAGAGCAGGCTCAAATGCCTCCGTCCCCAACCCGAATGGGGCAGCCCCCAAAGCCGCCCAAGTCACATCACCAACGAAACTCTGCCCTGACTTCGAAACCCTCAGACATTTGGGAGTTGGGAGCAGGGCGAACAACGCCAACCGGGGAAGGACCTGGAAGTGCGGATGGAACCAAAGTCGAAACAACTAATGCCCCCAAGTCTGAGTCACTATAACCAAAACGAGGCAGCCTTGGGTTATCCGACTGGGCAATCAACCTAGAGCGTTGCAGCAACCTAAACCTAGCATGTAACACTAATGCCGCCTGTACCCGAACCTCAGTGTCAAGAGAATGGGTAAATTGGAGAACCAGCAGAGAACATGACTTGCAAGACTCCGGATCTAAGGTGTCGTTGACCCAGCAGGCAGCATGACGGAGGCAAAACAGGTGACTGTCACCCCTGAGACAAGGGCACTGAGTAACCTTCAAACTCACACAATGTGAGGTGGAACTCAGAAGACACATCTATTAGTCAACTGAGCCCCATAGAGATCTTCCAGTGCCCGCAGACTGTCTGCTACGGGAAGCCCAGGCAAGGTACAGTTAGGCCTAAACCAATAAGGAAGAACTGCTAAAAATTGAACCCCTGTGACATGTACAATCAAGGGGGGGCCTAGAGGTGGGCCACCAAAATACGTGAAGCGGACCAATAGCCAAACAAGGAAGACCCCCTCAAAGTAAGGAAAACAGAAATAAAAGAAAACCCCTACAAAAGTACAACGTCCCCAGAAGGAACAGGAACTGGCCGCCACGTAGGTAGGCAAGCTGCATAGTATTTTGTGCCCCCTACCAGCAACACTACCACTTCCTACCCAAAGCCAAACGAAGGCCCCCAAAACCCCAGCTGGCTCCAAGGGTAAATGCTGAGCACCAAAGACCCCTATGGAAGCAGTTCCCGAGAGCTCTATGGAAGGTAACCCTAGAACCCAAGGGTAGTACTTATAGGGCGTTTAGGGAAGGTAGGCCTAAGTGCATGCAGCCCCAGTACAGTGATACCTTGGTTTAAGAGTTTAATCCGTTCCTGGAGACAACTTGTATTCCGAAGCTAATTTCCCCATAAGAAATAATGGGAAATGAATTAATCCATTCCTGACTACCCCATAAACCTCACTTCAAACTAAATTTTATACCTAATTCATCTAAATAAACCTACAAAACTATGTTCAAGTTATTACTTACCCTTGTTGATAAATGCTGTTGGCGTATGGAAGATGGTGAGGAGGGGGGAGGAGGAGAGGTGTTACTGTTTGGAAGGGGAGTCCCCTTCCATTACAACATCAGGCAGTGAGGACCTTTCTGGTGTGCACTCCTTAGCACGTTTTGCCTGCATACCACTAGATCCTGGCTGTGGCTCATTGCTCGATTTTCTCTCAACAAATCTGTCCATGGAAGCTTGTTTTTCCCTTCTTTGCAAGCTGTCTCTGTAGTACAGCATCACATTGTCATTGAAAAGATTAAGGCAACGGCCTACTACAGCTTTCTCTGGGTGAGTCTTTTCAATAAAAGTTTGCATCTCTTCCCACATCCGACACACCTTCTTAATTTCTGCAGAAGGGACATTCCCTACTGCCTCATCCTCCTCCACTGGAGAAACATCTTCAGCTGGGTCTTCTTGCTGTTCCTTTTGAAGGGCTTGGAGTTCTTCGGTGGTCAGTTCTTCGTTGTGTTCTTCCACCAACTCCTCCACCTCATCACCATCCAATTCCAAGCCCATTTGCCGGCCCAGAGTAACAATTTCCTCAACAATAGGCGCATCATTTACAGGCTCAAACCCCTCAAAGTCTAGTTCTGTCACACATTTAGGCCACAATTTTCTCCAGCCAAAAATCAGGGTTCTCTGAGTCACTTCTTGCCAGGCTTTGTCAACGAGTTTTAAAGAACTACAAATGTTAAAATGGTGTTTCCAGAACTCTTTGAGAGTGAGGTTTGTGGCTTCAGTCACTTCAAAACATTTCCGGAAATGTGCCCTTTCATACAGTTTCTTAAAATTTGCTATGATTTTCTGGTCCATAGGCTGAATTAGAGGAGTGGTGTTAGGAGGAAGGAACTTTATTGTGAGAAATTTACTGTATCTGTGCATCAATTCATCTTCCAATCCTGGAGGATGAGCAGGAGCATTGTCGAGGAAGAGCAGGGCATTGAGTGGCAAATGTTTCTCCTGCAGATATTTTTCTATGGCAGGGCACACCACTTCATTCACCCACTCCGAAAAAAAATCCTAGTCACCCATGCCTTTTTATTAGCCTTCCACATCACACACATTTGGCTTTTCTGCACTTTATACTGTTTGAAAACCCTTGGATTTTTAGAATGATACACTAGTAAGGGTTTAGGTTTCAAATCGCCACTCGCATTTGAACACAGCACAAGCGTAAACCTATCTTTCATAGGCTTGTGTCCGGGCAAGGATTTTTCCTCCTTGGTAATGTATGTCCTCTTAGGTAATCTTTTCAAGAACAGTCCTGTCTCATCACAATTAAACACTTGTTGCGGGAGGTATCCCTCAGCCTCTACAAACTCCTTAAATTCTTCAATAAATCGTTCAGCCGTTGGTTTGTCTGAGCTGGCAGCCTCCCCATGCCTCGCAACACTATGGATACCACTTCTTTTTCTAATTTTTTCAAACCAGCCCCTGCTTGCCTAAAATTCTTTTGTATCTGCATCACTCGTTCTAGGGGTTTTCTTTACACGGTCTTCGTGCAATACCCTGGCTTTCTCACAAATGATGGCCTCCGAAATACTATCACGCTTTAACTCCTTGTCGTGTATCCAAATTAATAACAACTTTTCCACTTTTTCAAGTATTTGTGGTCTTTGTTTCGTGATTGTTCTTACTCCTTTTGCCACTTTAGCACTCATAATCTCATTTTTCTTCTTAAGTATAGTGCATATCATTGACATGGCTTTGTTGTACTGCCTACAAAGTTCAACAACACATGTACCATTTTCATGCTTCCGAATGATCTCTTGATTTTCCTCTAATGTCATCCTCACATGAGCTTTCTTGGGATCCATGGTGAGATATATAGCGACAACTTTTATGGTCAAATGACCAAAAATCCAACAAAACACTGAAAATCCGGGTGAAGAATTGACGTGGGATTGTCACTGGGCACGAGGCACTGGTAAACTGAGGGGTGAGGGGCGGAGGGGCGACGATCGCCATACCACCATGCACTAGGTCGGCCTGTACGCGTATCAACAAACTCGTGTTCCGAGGTAACCCTTGCTTTCCGAGGCACATTTTCCGAGCAAATCCTGCTCGTATTCCGAAAAACTCATATTCAGGGACACTCGTATTCCGAGGTACCACTGTACACTTAAATTTCTCTGGCCACCGCACCACAAATGACAGGACAAACCCACAGAAAAGGTGTTCTAAATATAGCATATCAAATAACAAAAATTGTTATGAGGAATACACTGATAAATTTAAATTGGAAACTTTATTTTATTGAGATATAAATACCTTGTATATTTTAAGTTTATGCCATGAGGCACCAAAAATCCAGTACTGCATGGATATCTTTCAGACAAAATAATTACAAAAACACATAGTATCTGTACGTAAGACACCTAAATTAATTAGCAATGTGAAGGGCAAAATCATACCTTGCAGTGTTTACAGAGTGCCTCAGATGCAGAGTCAATAGGAACTTTGCAACCCACGCATGATGCCTTTCTGGTGATGAACTTTGCCAATGCACCCACTTTGCTGTGTGTAATGATTCTTGATCGCGTGTGGTCACCCTCTAGCAAAGAAACATTTGTCATTCAATTATAGTAGAGTTTGATACTCGTTACTGACATAAATGCTGTGAATCACATTACAAATTATTTGTCCAAATTAAATTTTCAATATAATAATAATGAACTTACTAAGCAGTTGCGATTCAGCCTTATCCCCAAGGATAGGCTCAAAGATTCTCAACAACGGCTTGCTGAGTTGATTTGTTAGGTAGTATTCATAATCAATAGGCAGACTGTTCTCCAGCACATATATAGGATCCTGAAAAAATATGAAAAAATATGAAGGGAAATTAATTATAAAAATTTGAATTTTCGTGGGTAGGAATCCTTTAAGCTAATTACATTCAAGCATTTTATTTTTACCTGATCACGATCAATGAATCGAGGAAACTTGGATAAAACTAAAACTTTAGCACTCTAGTGATGATGTAGAGCATCCTCCACAACTTTTAGCTTATTGATAATAAATTTTTACAAATAATTTTACAATTATTAGAGAGGAGTCATATTGACACAGTGGAATCTTGCACACCAAACGTCATTTTTTCTTCTTCTATACTTGAGATAATTTCCCAACATTTAATATCAAAGTTAACATAGCAAGCCTATATATAAATCTGAAAACAGATTATGTAATTTTTTACATCTTACACGGCTCATAAGGTTAAATTGGTTCTAGATTCAGACATAAGTGGGCTACATTGCCCAATAAGAACAGGGACCATCCTTATCCCCTGCACTGTGCACCTCGTTTCAACTCACAGCTTGGCGAGTAGTGAATAATGAATGAATTAAAAAGAAATTAGTGGTTTGAGGAATTATTAAAAAAAAACCAGCGTTGAATGTAATGAAACGCCATTTTCTGGGTGAGTCCCGGAGGCTCCCCGGAGCTATCCCAGGCTGATATGCTAATGCCAGACTTTTGCATCAGTCATGTGTATGGAGTTCTTAGGCCTACCGGGGACCACGGCCAGAACCGGGCCCCCTCAGAGAGGCAAGGGGAGCAATGGCCTATAGAAGCCCCTGTGTAGTTGGAAGCATTCTATGTCTGCCATCGACCGGAACAGGCACCCAGAAAGGTAAGCGCCCCAAAACAAACCCCTATTCTGGTTAAAATTGCTACCTAAAACCGAACTAGTGGATAGAACTCCCCAACCGAAAACAAGCAAACTAGTGTGACGTCACACACTGCCACACCGCTGTCTGCGCAGCTCCCCCCTCCCCGGAGGGGGAAGGGGGAGCCCCAGACCCCCCGCGCCGGCTACCCACACCTCAGTTCTTGAGGCTGGATGTCAAAAACGCGAAAAACCGCCGACCGGAGGGAGGGAGGGATGCCGGGGAGCCTCCGGGACTCACCCAGAAAATGGCGTTTCATTACATTCAACGCTGGTTTTCTGGGGGGAGCCCCGTCGGCTCCCCGGAGCTAACTACCCACAGACAGAAAAAGAGGGACTTACCCGGGAGGCGGTCGTCGCTCACCCCTCAACTCGAAGCCGAGACAACTGGCTGCAACCGCCGACCCAAAGCAACACAGGCCCGACGAGGCCCAGGGACATTCACAAGGTAACGAGCAGCCAGGACCCTGTTCGACCGCCAAAATCCCCGCGCCCGAATATCAGACCAAGACATATTCCCAAAGACGGCAGCAAGAGCCGCGAACTTACGAACGTCATGGGCACGGGGATAGACCGCAGGCTGGCTGGACCTAATAACCCTGCGGACGACCTGAGAGACCCGAACCCGCGAACAGGGAAGAAGGGAAACCGGATCAACCCACAGCGCGTCCCCGGACACAGAAGCTGTGGCGCGCAAATAACGGCGAAGCGCCGCAACCGGACACAAAACATGATGCACCCCCGGCCTGACCAACCAAGCATCAACCACCCATGGACCCCTCCGGAACGCAGCAGTCTCATTCTTCGCCAGAAAAGAAGGAGACGGCTGCAAACGAACAAAACTATCACCACGACCAAAAGAGCAGAAACCCCTGCGCCGGAAGAGAGCATGAAGCTCCCCTACCCGACCCCCAGAGGCCAAAGCCAACAAGAAAAGTGCCTTGGAAAAACAATCCTGGACCGAAGGGGCCACAACGAAACGAGGAGATGAAAGGAAAGCAAGCACTCTGTCCAAAGACCAGGACGGCTCAGGCGACGCATGAGCAGGCCGGAGGTGAAACAATGCACGAGACAGCTTGCGAAACGGCGCAGACGTAACATCGATACCGAAAGCAAGCTGAAGCGGCTCCGCCAGCGCCGCACGATACGAAGCGACAGTGTTAGGCATAAGATGACGGTCCTGAAACAACCACGAGAGGAAGGACAAGACCACCCGAACAGACAAGGAGCTAACACGACGAAGACGCAAAAAGAAACGGAAGGACCGCCAGGAAACTTCATACTGCCGCCGAGAAGAAGCCCTCAGGTGGGACACCAACAAGGAGGCCACCTGATCACCATAGAGATGATGATAGACTCGAGTCAAAAAAACCATACGCGAAGACTCGAGGAGAAGATCGAACCAGCCACGTGACGTACCGGCCCGATCTGCTGAAAGAGGCGGAGCCGCGGGAAAACCCTCGGGTTCGGACACCGAGCAACCAGCGCCTGAAACCAAGGCTGGGCCGGCCACCAAGGGGCCAGAAGGACAACTCTCCCCTGGTAAGTCTCTAAGCGAGTCAGGACCTGGAGCAACAGCCGAACCGGGGGAAAGAGGTACAGGAACCCCCACCTCGACCAGTCGAGCCGAAAGGCATCGACCCCGACGGCCTCGCAATCGGGGAAGGGCGCCGCATAAACGGGAAGACGCCGCGACCACGCCGACGCGAAGAGGTCCACTTCGGGGCGCCCGAACGTCTGGCAAAGCCAACGGAAGGACTCGTCGTCGACCGTCCACTCCGTGGAGAGGGGAACGAAGCGAGACAGGGCGTCGGCCAAGACGTTGGACACGCCCCGTACGTGAACCGCCAGGAGAGCCAAACCCCGAGAACTCAGCAGACGAGTCACCCGAAGCGACCAACCCCAAAGAGACAAGGACCGCATCGAACCCCCGCGGTTCAGGCAATGAACCACCGGAGAGCAGTCCGAATGGAGCCGAATCGTCGATCCGCGGGCCACCCGAATCCTCCCCAGAGCAAACCACACTGCCGCGAACTCCCGCACCGTACTGTGAGCTCGACGGAAGGACGGATCCCAACGCCCCTGGCCGGCCTGGTGAGCACTGGTCACAAAACCCCAGCCGAGAGACGACGCATCCGTGTACACATCGAGCGAGGGCTCGGGTAGGCGCCAAGGCACTGAACCCCGAAAAACCCGAAGAGGAAGCCGGTGACGCAGCAACCGACGCAAGTCCCCCGGGGGTCGAACTCTGCGATCGCGAGAGAGGCGGAAGGGGGAACCCCGAAGGAACCAGAACAGCCGTCGAAGCCAAACCCGACCCGGCGGGTAGACCACCATCGCGAAGTTCAGGCTCCCGCACAGCCCCTCGAGCAACCGCCGGGTGACCCGAGGGCCCTCCAGAAACAGACGAAGGCGGGACCGCAGCCGCAGGAGAGACTCCGGAGGGAGAGACAAGGAGGCGGTTCGAGAGTCCCACACGAGACCCAGCCAAGTCCGAACCTGAGAGGGAACCAGATGGGACTTCCTCCAGTTCACCAAGAACCCGAACCCGGCGAGCTGGGAAAGAACCAAATCCCTGGCTAGCAAGCAAGCTGACTGGCTGGGAGCCCAAACCAGCCAGTCGTCGAGGTAGGCCAACACCCGAACACCTAGGAGACGCAAACGAGCCACCACAACCCGTGTAAGGCGTGTGAACACGCGAGGTGCCAGGTTCAACCCGAACGGGAGACAACGAAAGCGGTAACTCAGACGCCCCACAACAAAACCGAGCCAGTCCCTGAACCGCGGATGAATCGGGACATGCCAATAAGCGTCCCGGAGGTCCAGGGACACCATCCAAGCTCCCGGCTCCAAGAGGAGCCGAACCTGAGACAGCGTAGTCATCCGAAAGGAGGGGCAATGAACCCAGGGGTTCAGACGGGACAAGTCCAGAATGAACCGCAGGTCCGCGCAGTCCCGTTTCGGAACCGGAAACAGACGGGAAACCCATCTGAGGGACGACGTCGGTTCGACGACGCCCAAGCGTACCCACTCCAAGACGACTCGACAGAGCGCAGGGGAAGAAGCCTGCCCTGCCAGCCCCGAACCCCCAAAGGGGGGAGGGGCCACCCAACGCCACCGCAGGCCGCGAGACACGACCCGAAAGGCCCATGAATCGTGGGACCAGGCGCGGGCGAACAGCGCAAGCCGCCCCCCCATCGCCCCGTCAAAGGGGCAAACCGCGAAAGGGCCGGCGACCCTTACGAGACCCAGAACCCCGCACAGCGCGAACACCGCGCCGACCAGACGAGGGAGGGTCCGCAGGAGGAGCCAACCCCGAACCTGACACCAGAGGCCTACCACGACGAGAGGAACCCCGAGCCCTGGCACGACCTTTCCGGGAAGACCCACCCCGGGACCCCCGGAAAACCAACAAGTCCGACATCGGACGACAAGCCGCCGACGCAGCCTGAATAAACTGCGCCACGGCCGACTCCCCAAACAGGAGAGGACAAAAAGGTGAAGAACGCCTAAGAGCCAGAGCCCAAGCAGATTCCACGGAGGAACCCAGCACCGCCTGCCGACACGCGAGACGGGAAGCATAAAACAGGGAAACCGCATCCCGCAAAATCGGCGTGAACAGCTTCAACAAGGCAGCCGACGAACGCGCAGCCGAGGACAAGGTGCCGGACCCCGGGACGGACCCAAGCGTCCCCACATCCTCCACGAGCCAATCCGAAGACAGCTCCAGGAGGGAAAAGAACCGCAAGGCCGAAGCCAAAAGGCCCCGGGCGCGCAAGTCCTCCGCAACGAGCGCCGCCGAAAGGGAGGGAACCTGCACATGGAGCTGAATAACGACCACATCGCGGGGAAGGGCAGGGGCAAACAAGCACTCATTCAGGTACTCAAGTTCACCCCCCAGGAAAACCTGAAGCACCGTGGAAGCTTCCCGCCACTCCAGCGTGCGGGAACGACAGAAGGAAAGCCAGGAATCCAGACCAAACAAGGGGCAGTCTGCTAGCCAGGACGACTCCGGAACCTCGTAACGGAGCCAGAAAGGGAACGAAGTCCCAAACCTGAACGTGGACGGATCCATTTCAGAGGCATAATCCGGGTCACGCAGGAGGTAAGCCGCAAAGGCCGCTCGCACCACACCAGGTTGGATGCGATAAGCCGAAAACCTCCGGAAGGACGGAACCGACGTACCCGGGGGAACACTGAACTGAACACTGGCCCCGGGGAGGGGCCGACACCAAATCCAACTCGTACGCAGAGGGGGGGAAAGAAAACCCCACTCCTTGTAACAATAAGCCCCGCTCAGTGGGAAGAAAAACCCAAGCGGGGTCCAGCGGGGCCCAAGGCCCCCAAGTCAGCCCCTCCCCAGCCTCGAGGTCCGTCACCACAGGACCCGAGGCCGAGTCCTCTCCCCAAGCCCCGACCCCACAAGACAAGGACGGAGCAGCCGGAAAAGCTGGAGGAAGGGGGGCCCACTGGTCAGACCCTGAAGCTTTGGCCGGGAGACAAGACTCGAATGCCTCTGCTGCCCCCCCGGAAGGGGCAACCCCCGAAGCTGCCCGAGTCTCGAGATCAAGTAACCCCTGCTCCGACCCCGAAACCCTCAGATGCTTCGGGGCCGGAAGCAGGGGCGGGGGACCAGAACGAACAGAAGGGGAAGGACGAGGAGGTGCGGACTGAACCAGGATCGAAGCGACCCCCACCCCCCCAAGTCTGGGTCTCGAAAAGCAAAGCGGGGCAGCCCCGGGGCATCCGGGGAAGCAACCAACCGAGCGCGTTGCAACAGACGAAACCTAGACTGCAACGCACGTGCCGCCTGTACCCGAATAGAATCATCAGAGGATTGGGTAAATTGAGTCACAAGCAAGCAGCAACACTCACAGGACTCAGGGTCGAAAGTATCACCGACCCAACAGGCAGCGTGGCAGAGGCAAAAACAATGAGGGTCACCCTGAGACAAGGGGACCGAGCAACCCTCAAACTCGCACACAGCGAGTGGGGACTCCGGGGTCACATCCATCGGACCCACGCGCTCCCTAGGGGATTCCCAGGGTCCTGAGCGTTTACTTTAAGAGGACTCGCGCTCAGGTAGTCCCAGGCAGGGTGCTGCAAACCGGCGCCCAAAACTACCAAGCAAACTTCTAAAGCTGAACCCCAGGGACGTGTACACTCACGGGGACCTAGCAGGGGGCGCCACCGAGGAGAACAGTGGAAGGGCAAAAACAAACTGAATAAAATGACAGAACCCCCCACCAGGCAAAAACAAAAAGAAAAACAAAACCCCGCAAGAGGACAGCGAACCCCAAGGAACAGAGCCGGCCGCGATGTCGGGAAATACAAGCTGAGCAGCACCCTGCGCCCCTACCAGTGCAAACTGCCTCTTACCTGTCGGTAACAAGGGAGAACAGAACACCCAAGAGCCCAACAGGCGGCCGAAAAACCGAAAGGTAAAACGGACCAGCAGAGGCAGACCCCGAGGAGCCTGTGGAAGGTGGCCCCAAGCCCCAAGGGCAGTACTTACAGGGTACCTAGGGAAGGCAGCCCTAGGCGCATGCAGCCCGAGTACTGAAGATAACTCCTGGCTCTCGCACCCACAAAACTAACACCACACGCAAAGCACAGTGCAGTAGCGACACCGGAGCCAGAGCACACGACCATCGCCTATAGCATCAGCCTCAAGAACTGAGGTGTGGGTAGCCGGCGCGGGGGGTCTGGGGCTCCCCCTTCCCCTTCCCGGGGAGGGGGGAGCTGCGCAGACAGCGGCGCGGCAGTGTGTGACGTCACACTAGTTTGCTTGTTTTCGGTTGGGGAGTTCTATCCACTAGTTCGGTTTTAGGTAGCAATTTTAACCAGAATAGGGGTTTGTTTTGGGGCGCTTACCTTTCTGGGCGCCTGTTCCGGTCGATGGCAGACATAGAATGCTTCCAACTACACGGGGGCTTCTATAGGCCATTGCTCCCCTTGCCTCTCTGAGGGGGCCCGGTTCTGGCCGTGGTCCCCGGTAGGCCTAAGAACTCCATACACATGACTGATGCCAAAGTCTGACATTAGCATATCAGCCTGGGATAGCTCCGGGGAGCCGACGGGGCTCCCCCCAGAAAATTAATTAAAATTAAAGCAGTGGTTTAATGATTTTTTTTTTTAATATGTTGCCATACTTAACAATTTGCATTTCAAATCACAAAGATTATAATGCTATGCACACTGAAGTAGTTAAGCCCCCCTCATCTAAGTCTTAAACTTTGAAGACAATACACATGAGTTCTCCAGATTTTTCATGGAAACTGCAAATTGGGAAAGAAAAGGCAAATAAATTCTGAAAAATATAAAACCCTACGGTATTCTTACCCCAGGATACTTAAATATGATGAGGCTAAACACACAACTAGACCCTGGAGCCTACATACCAGCCAATTAAGGGTCAAGGCGAGACCCCAAGACTTGTAGCTCATCCACCCACAAATACAACTAGACGAGTACTAACCTCAGCTTTTTCATATGCAGGTGTGCCCTTAGCGCCAGCAACAATGACAAAAGGAACCCTGTCACCAAGCTTAGGGGCAGTGCCTGGGTCTCGTTTCTTCATTTTATTTGCTAGTTCCACGTGGGCTTGTTTAGCAGCATACTCCTTTTCCGTCTTAGTTAATTCTTTGGTTATGACTAGTTGTGATATATCAATACGATTGCAGAGCAAGTCCGATATTGTTTGCTTAGCATAATCTACAGCTCCTAGTGGATTTCTGTTCAATCAAAAAAAAAAAAAAATAATCTGTTATTTAGAATGAAAACTTAAATAAATGGCAATTGTTGCCTACAGTATTTAAAAAATATATAGTACAGTATACAGAATACAGTGACCCCTCCATTTTCAAATTTAATCCGTTCCCACAGACGGGTCGTAACTCGAAACAAATTTTCCCATACGAAATAATGTAAACTGAATTAATCCGTTCCACACTCCCAAAAATATTAACTTCAAAATACATTTCATACATAATACACACATATTTTGTACTATAGTACAGTATGTATGTACAAGTTATAGCTTATGTATAAAAGGTAAAAGTCTCGGAACATAACTTGTTCGTAAGTGGCGAACTGCCTGTTCTATAACCTGGTTTACCTGGTTGATGGGGTTCTGGGAGTTCTTCTACTCCCCAAGCCCGGCCCGAGGCCAGGCTTGACTTGTGAGAGTTTGGTCCACTAGGCTGTTGCTTGGAGCGGCCCGCAGGCCCACATACCCACCACAGCCCGGTTGGTCCGGCACTCCTTGGAGGAATAAATCTAGTTTCCTCTTGAAAATGTCCACGGTTGTTTCGGCAATATTTCTTATGCTTGCTGGGAGGACGTTGAACAACCGCGGACCTCTGATGTTTATACAGTGTTCTCTGATTGTGCCTATGGCACCTCTGCTCTTCACTAGTTCTATTCTACATGTTCTTCCATATCGTTTACTCCAGTACGTTGTTATTTTACTGTGTAGATTTGGTACTTGGCCCTCCAGTATCTTCCAGGTGTATATTATTTGATATCTCTCTCATCTTCTTTCTAGCGAGTACATTTGGAGGGCTTTGAGACGATCCCAATAATTTAGGTGCTTTATTGCGTCTATGCGTGCCGTATATGTTCTCTGTATTCCCTCTATTTCAGCAATCTCTCCTGCTCTGAAGGGGGAAGTGAGTACTGAGCAGTACTCAAGACGGGACAACACAAGTGACTTGAAGAGTACAACCATTGTGATGGGATCCCTGGATTTGAAAGTTCTCGTAATCCATCCTATCATTTTTCTGGCTGTCGCAATATTTGCTTGGTTATGCTCCTTAAACGTTAGGTCGTCAGACATTATTATTCCCAAATCCTTTACATGCTGTTTTCCTACTATGGGTACATTTGATTGTGTTTTGTACTCTGTATTATGTTTAAGGTCCTCATTTTTACCGTACCTGAGTACCTGGAATTTATCACTGTTAAACATCATGTTATTTTCTGATGCCCAGTCGAAAACTTTATTAATATCAGCTTGAAGTTTTTCAATGTCCTCAGCCGAGGTAATTTTCATACTGATTTTTGTGTCATCTGCAAAGGATGATACGAAGCTGTGACTTGTATTTTTGTCTATATCTGATATGAGAATAAGGAAAAGCAGCGGTGCAAGGACTGTACCCTGAGGTACAGAGCTTTTCACTGCACTTGGACTAGATTTTATATGGTTGACAGTTACTCGCTGAGTCCTGTTTGACAGAAAACTGAGTATCCAGCATCCTACTTTACCGGTTATTCCCATTGACTTCATTTTGTGTGCTATCACGCCATGGTCACATTTATCGAAAGCCTTTGCGAAGTCCGTGTATATCACATCAGCATTCTGTTTCTCTTCTAATGCCTCAGTGACTTTGTTGTAGTGCTCAAGTAGCTGTGAGAGGCACGATCTATATAGTGAACTTTTTTCCAAGGGCCTAGATTAACCCTATAACATTTATATAGATGTATTACTTATAACCATATTTACATCTGTATGAAAACCAGGCAAGAATTATAACTGCATTACCCTGGAGATCGATATATGAAGATAATTACACTTTAATGGTTACATAAAAGAAAATTAAAAACAAAACAAACACCCAGCTTTGAATGTAATGAAATGCCATTTTCTGGGAAAGCCCCAGTGGCTCCCTGAAGCTATCCAGACTGACATGTGCCATATTAGTTTGGGGGTCATTAGCTACATGAGTTCTTGCCTTCCGGGGACCATGAGTCAGAACCTGGCCCCCCTCAGAGAGGTGCAGGGAGCATTGGCTCTATGAGCATTCTACATTTAGAATATGTCATGTCTGCCATCGACTGGAGAATAACCCTAGAAAGGTAGGCATAACAATAGAAACCTCTAACTGGTTAAAATTGCAACTTACGTCCGAACAGAGCCAAAGAACTACCCCACAAAAGAAATCAAACAAGCAAGCAAATCGTCATCAAACTAGCGCGCCAGCAGCTCACGACTCCAGTTCATAGAATGATGAAAACCGCCGACCGATGGGAGGGAGGGTGTCAGGGAGTCTCCGGGGTTTGCCCAGAAAATAGAATTTCATATCATTCAATGCTGGTTTTCTGTGGGGAGCCCCATTGGCTTTCAGAATAAGTAAAAACAGACAAGTAAAACAGGGACATACCTAGGAGGTGGCAGCACCACAGGTCTCACAACATACAAAAGTCAACAGGCCGCGGCAGACGCCCTAAAGCAGCAAACGGACAGAGAGGGCCCAGAACGTTGACGAGAAACCAGGTGGCCAGGACCCTGTCCGGCCTCCAAAATCCCTGTGATTGAGAGGCGACATAAGACACATTACCAAAGACAGAAGCCAGAGCAGGATATCTCTGCACAACATGGGCATGAAGTTAGACCGCAGGCTGACTAGAATTGACGACCCCCAGGACCAAAGGAGCACAAACCTCTGCACCGAAGAAGAGCAGGAAGATCCCTCAACCGACCTCAAGAGGCCAAAGCCAACAAAAACAATGCATTCATAAAATAATCACGGATCAAAGAGGCCACCACAATCCCTAGACGAGGAGAGAAATGAGAGCACCTGGTCCAAAGACCAAGAAAGCTCAGGCGGCGCATTAGCAGCCTCGAGGTGAAAAATGCATGTGAGAGCTTATGGAACGGAGCAGAAGGGACAACCACCCTGAACCCAAGCTAGATCGGCTCCGCCAACAATGCACGATAAGAACCAACAGTATTCGGCATGAGATGCAAGGCAAGAAAAAACGAAGAAAGAACAAAACAACCCAAAACCTGACGCGTTTCAAGACACCTACAAAGGGAAAGGAAAGATGGAAAGACCGCCAGGAGACTCCATACTGTCGCTGAGAGGAAGACCACAGGTGGGACACCATCAAAGAAACCACCTAATGACCATACAAGTGGCAATACATCCACATCAGTAAACCAGATGCAAAGAGCGGAGGAGTAAGTTGAACTAACGAGGTACCGTACTGGCCCGACCTGCTGAAAGAGGCGGAGCCATGAAAAAGCTCTCAGGTTTGGACACCGAGCAAGCAGCGCCTGAAACCAAAGCTGGGCTGGTCACCATGGGGCCAGGAGAAGCACTCTCCCCTGAAAGGATTCGAGCCAAGCAAAAACCCATAGCAGTAGCTGGACTGGGGAAAAAGTTACAGGAACCCCCTATCTCGACCAATCCTGCCGAAAAAACGTCTACCGTGACGGAGTTGCAGTGGGGAAACAGCGCCACATATAACGGGACCACACCAACACAAAAAGGTCCACCTCTGGGCGACTGATTGTCCAACAAAGCCAAAGGAAGGGGCTGGCTTCGACCGGCCACTTCGTGGAAAGAGGAATGAAGCACGACAGGCCCACTGCTAAGATGTTGGACACTCCCGGAATGTGAACGACATAGAGAACGAAACCCCGAGAACTCACCAGAAGAGCTACCCGAAGCAATCAGCCCCAAAGAGCCACAGACCACGTGCACACACATCCCCCCGGTGGAGACAAAGAACCACATGGGAGCAGTGCAAATGGAGCCGGATCACAGAGCCCCAAGGAAGCTGAATCCTTCGCAGCGCCTGCCACACAGCCACAAACTCATGCATCGTGCCGTGAGCCCAACAGTCTCAGCCAGCCTGATGAGCACTGGTCACAAAGGCACAGCAGAGAGATGAGAGATCCAGGAACACATCGAGCGAGGGATGGAGTAGGCACTGGCACTGTGGCACCGATCCCAGAAGAGGAAGCCGGAGATGTAGCAACTGACACAAGGACCCCTGGCGATGAATCCAACGGACGCAAAAGCGGCAAATGGGGCTGCCCCTAGGATACCAGAACAGCCTCCGAAGCCAAACTCTGCCCAGTGGGTAAACCAGCATGGAAAAGTACGGGCTTCCGCACACTGCTTGAACAACCACCAAGTGACCTGAGGCCCCCTCAACAACAGCTGAATGCAGAACCGCAGCCAGAAAAAAACGCAGCCAGTTCTGTCTTTCTCCCTCCTGGCAAAGCTGCAAGAGGGAGAAAGACAGACACCGTCCGAGAATCCCACACAAAGGCCCAACCTGGGAAGGAACCCCCCCGCTGGGACTTCCACAAAATCACCAGGAACCCGAACCTGGCAAGCTGGGAAGAGTCAGAACCCCAGCTAGCAGACAAGCAGACCAGGAGGAAGCCCACACCAACCAGTCATCCTAGTAGGCTGCCAGCCAGAAAGGTACCGGAGCCTCGAAATACAACCCCCATCAGGGTAAGAGGAACCAAATGAAAACAAAACCGGATCCAACACAGAAGAGAAACTGGGTCTTGCCGGAGGCCCCCGCCAATGGCCTCCCCAAACCCCCCAAAGGGAATCTGAGAGGAAGAAACCCTCTGGAAAGACGAATCCGAGGAACCCTAGGGCACCCGGAAACGAACCTGGGGAGAGCCCAACCTATCACATTTGCAGGCGGAAAACATGCCATTTGAAGGACAAGTTTCAACAGGTGTTCAAAGTGAATAACAACCAGTGTATAAATTTTTTTTAACATTACCCTGATAAAAGAGCCCAATGCCTAAATGGCCATAATACAGACAGGATACTGAGGGCCAGAGGCGTGGGAGCCAGACGAGCATAAAGGGCAAGTTTACCAAGCACAAAAACATAAGAAAAGAAAGAAAACAATCCATTGACCATAGTCTGGAACACAAGACCGGCAGACATGACCACCATCCAAAAGTTCCCAGGGAAAC